TTGTGGTGGAGTATCGCTCTGTTGCCCAGGCTGGGGTGCAGTGGCACAATCTCGGCTCACTGCAACGTCCACCTCCCAGGTTCAAGCGATTCTCCTGCCTCAGTCTCCCAGGTAGCTGGGATTACACGTTCCCGCAACTGTACCTGGCTAATTTTTATATTTTTAGTAGAGATGCGGTTTCACCATATTGGCCAGGTTGGTCTCAGACTCCTCACCTCGTGATCTACCCGCCTTGGCTTCCCAAAGTGTTGGGATTACAGGTGTGAGCCACCATGCCCAGCCAAAAAGTGGAATTAAAGCCACGTTCAAGGTGGTAGGTAAGAGCCAGAAACAATTTAAGGTGTCTGTTTAGAAGGATGGGTGAAAAGTAACACTGAATCCTAATCAGTGATCTGCAACAGAGAAATAGTTAGAGGGATGCAGTGATTCTGAGGCACCAGTATAGTGGGCAGAACCCACATGTCCCATCCTAGTTGATCTGCGTCCTGGTGTGTGGTTGTTTTTACTGTGCTTTATTAACCATAGACTTTGGATCTACTATGGAATGCAGATATCTGCAAACTGCTGTGTTTTGGGAGCTGTCTGGGGACAACCTCAGGAGCTGAGGGAGAGACCTAGGGGACAGGATTCTGGGTCCTCCATCTCTATCCCTATACTTCAGAATAGTTTTGCTTTCAGTATGATTTTGCTTGAGAAAAGCTTGACAACCATTGCTAAAATATACTAAAGTTTTTGAAAACCACTGATTTAGAGTAGTAAACCCTATTGTCAATATTATGACAAGGATTTTATGGAACATAAAATCAGGCTGTGTTGGGTGTTCAGCTAGAAATGCATAGGGAATCATTTAAAAACTGCAGAGCATTCCAAGAGACATCATAGCTACTTCAAACCTAAAGCTTTATTAGAAAAGGAACTGTCAGAGATACTTCATGATGTTGAAAACTCAAAGGATTAAATATTAGAAGCTGATTTAAATTTAGAGTTATGATAGTTTGCCAAGAAATAGAAAAGATACCCACAGTATGTGATAAGTTGGAAATAATACAAATGAGATATGACTTTGTAAAAGCAATGAGGAAAATATTTCTTAAGGTTAGACATGAAAATGTGAATCTCCAAGTGCCCTAGGGTTGCTTGTTAGAGGGCTCAACTTAGGGTGGATATAGATTAATTCATTTCTCCTCCAACCTCAGAGAAAAATGAAAAGTTTTTTTTTACAAAGAAGCAAAACACTTTAATCTTCCATGTTTCTGACATTTTAGAATATAGTACTCTAAAGCCAGGCATAGTGGCATGCACTTGTACTCTTATCTACTTAGGAGGCTGAGGTGAGAGAATTGCTTGAGACCAGAAGTTTGAGACCAGCCTGGGCAACATAGTGAGACCTCATCTCTTAAAAAAATATATAATATACTAAATAAATATTGGTCTTTTTCCATTTGCCTTTCCTATATAGTTTTTCATACGGTTATAACTGGCAGTAAAATGATTTTTAATGTTTTAACAAAAAACTTCAAAAGTCACAAATAACTGTAATTTTTCCCATTAATTATTGATTGCTTAATTGCAGGGGTTTTTAGTCTTTCACTACATAGTTCTGCACAGTGAGGACTGCCTATATATGCTGTTAAAGTGATCTAAATATGGCCTGAGAAGGACTCTGTACTTCTGTATTTGAGTTCTTGTGGATGAACTGTAACCTAGCTTAATAGGTGGACAAGATTGAAAACCTAACTAGGGGTATGGACCTGTAACAATAGCTGAGGCTTGGCTAATCCCAGCCACCATACTTCAACCATTCATACATTACTGAGTGTTCAGACTGTGTTCAAATAAGGCAAATACCAATCTGTAACCAATCCAGCTGTTCTGTATCTTATTTCCAATTTCTATACATCATTTCTCTTTTTCTGTCTGTAAATCTTCCATCAGGTGACTGCGTTGGAGTCTCTGTGAATCTGCTGTGATTCTGGGCACTGCCTGACTTGCGAATTGTTCCTTGTTTAATTAAATCCCTTTAAATTTAATTTGGCTAAAGTTTTTTTTTTATCAGATGATGTCAGAAGCAGAATCTGAAGTAGAGCTTCTGGCGATCCCCAGGAGTGTTGAGTGAACAAGCAAGGTATCTGCAGGACCTGCTTGTGTTCACTGATCTCTCAGAGCAGCTGGGCATCATGGGTAAGCTCTTTCTCAGATATCAGACCTCCACAGATTTGTGTTTTGAGCTTTCTAAGTTCTTTGAGCAAATTCCTGATCCAAAATGGGTTTGAAAGTCATGACAGAAACTGAGCTGGATCCAGGAATGGATTTGATCTGGATTGGCTTGGATTTAGTTTGAGACCTCTTAGATCTGACTGGTTCAGAAAGGAACTGATAGTAAGCAGAAATATTGCAGGGGTTATAAAATTTGGCTTCTTGAAAATTCACAGGATTTTTATGTTCTACCCCTTTATTTCATTTTTCTTGCACGATTAGGTAGGAAAACTCATTGGCTAAGTTAATCAAGATACCCTGAGAGTAAAGCCAATATTTTAGGTAGAAATGGGATCCTTAATTTCTGGAAAACTAAGTTCCTTCTGGTGTATATGTTAGGTCTGGGAGACAGCAGTCTAACAGAAATGGCAAAATCTTACTAAAGATGATTTACAGTGGAATGTTCCAAATGAACAATGCATTGAAGTATGTTTAAAAATGAGGGCTCTCAGTAAAGCCTCTTTCGGTTAAGAACAGGTGTGGCACTATGGGATGTTAACTACTATTCTCTCTTGATTAATTTGTCTTATACTTTTTGCTGATGACTATGGGTGACAGTATTAGGCATGTACAGGACCATGGGACATGGAAAGCTTTTTCCTCCCAAAAGGGAAAATTTGAGAGCTGATGGGACCACTCGAAAAGATTTCTTGGCTACTGACAAGCAGCCGCCTGAACTTTTCAGTGTCATTGCATTGAGTGGGTCTTGCTCTGGCCTCCCTGAGCGTTCACCTTCCCTATCTTGCCATAGGCAATACTTTTCTTTCTCTACTTTTCCTTTCCTGTCTTTTACTCAGGGCAGCCATCTTGCCCAGAGACCATGTGTTGAAACTCATAATTAGAGGTTGGATTAATGATGACAGGGGCCATCTGAGGGCAAATTTAAGCCTTACCAGTTTGATACTTGTTGCTAAGCAGTGTGGCTAATATCTATGTTTTATCACATGTGTTTTGTTCTGACTAGAATGATAAAAGATAATTTTCCTTTATGATGTAGGCTGGCCCCCAGGGTAATGGTGTGGCAAGCTGGGTCACTAGGGCTGCTCGGGGAAAGGGAGAGAGAACCCAGAAGCCCGGCATGCCAGTAAAAGGGTAAGAATTTCTTACCAGTCAGAATTCTGGCTTTCCCCCATTTTTTTTCTTTGTGCAAAATAGTTAAAGGAATGGTAAAAATTATTGTTGCCTCCTATGTAAAGTTTTGGTTAATACAAAAAAAATTCTGAGGCTGGTCTTAAGCTGTAGTGGATCTGGTGTACTTTCTGGGTCTTTCTGTATTGTTGTCATAAAGAGGGGTACCTTAGGATAAAACATGTGCCCAAAACCTCATAAGCTTGCTGTTCATGACGGCCCAGCACACTGGTCAATTATGTCCTTAAGGAGCCTGACCTTGTAACCAGGTGGCCATGTTTTCTCTTTTCACAATGGCAGCCCAAGTTCAGAGTTCAATCCCTATATTAGGGG